TGTGAATCAGTTTCCACAGCTGTTGTTATTTCCAACATAGTGGCAGGAATCCTGTCCACCAACTTAAGTTTAAGTGTGATCTTAAGGCAGCCTTTAACTGACGGTGCAAACGTTCTGCCATCTCACTTATCTGAAGATGATGTACAGCACAACATATTTTATTGGAGCCTAGAAGTTAAGACACGTTGTTGAATAGCTCAGGTTCAAATTAGGCTTCTTTGTCAGTCGTTATTGTAATAGGTGTACTAAGAATGGTCGCTCATTTCTGAATCAAAGCTTTAGAAACTGTTTCAGTTGTGTGTCGGTTAACGGTATGTGTATTAAAAACCTCGTGGATCTATCTGTGCATGTAAACAGGTAGTTAAAACCATTAGAATGATACAAAAGTCCCACCACATTGATATGAACACGAACGAAACGTGCATCTGGTCTGAGAAAACTCCAGTAATTGAATTTTTGTGACGAAAAACTTTTGACTGTTGACAAGCCGAATACTCTCTAACCCACTTATGCACATCATTTTGTAAATTTGGTCATATATACCTGGCATTGATTAGTTTGATAGTAGCTTTCTCACCAGGATGAGACAAAGTATATAATTGAATAAATATTAATTTTCTCATGTTTTTGGGGACGAGGTGTCGGGGGGTCGACTTGGTCGTGTCGCAGTACATCAAACTACATTCAATAGGTGATAGTAACTGTCTTAGTTTGAGACCAGAGTTCGTTACCGCAAGTAGACTTAGAATTTCTTGTTCCTCTTTCTGGTGTCTCCTAAAGCTTCGATTGATGAATGAGTTATGTTTACTTGTAGTAGATATAATGCATCTCCGCATGATTGTCCTAATCCTTGACATGTCGTATATCACCAGTGGACTGAGAGGTAGAATCAAATTGTGATTTGGAATTCAGATTGGCAATTGACAGATTGTCTATATACCTCCATGCAAAAGGTATGTCCTTAAGAAATTTCCCCAAAAGCCTTTGAAATATTTGTGTCACGTTCCTCGCGCCGAATGGCATGCGTGCAAACTTGGACAGTCCAAAAGGAGTAATAGTAACTGTCTTAGGCATAGCTTTTCAGCTACTGGGATGTCATGATTTCCAAGTAATGACCAAGTCAATTTGAGTAAACATGTTCATATCCTGTAAGCCGTTTAAAAAATCTTGGAAACGAAGTATCAGGTACCTATGTGGTACTACCTGACGATCGAGGGATCTGCAGTACCTTCTAGGTCTCCGATCGCCTCCACTTTTCTTTGGAACCATATACTTAGGGGATGCTGGATATAAGATGGACGGATAACACCCAGCTGTAGCATATAGTCGAGTTAGCTTCTAGTGATTTTAAGCTTATCTGGTGCTAATCTTCTAGGTCTAGCAGGTACAAGTGCTCCTTTAGCTTTGTTCTTATGACTTACATTTATTTTACTCTGGAAGACTGATAGTTAGAGTCGTTCAGGTTTGAAATTTTTACGAGTATACCCAGGAACTTGGCAGTTGTTGCTGGAGGATTTCATGTCAGATTTAGGGAAGAGATGTAACTTTCTTTACTCTTAGTGTAACTCAAAGTTTCTCTCGGTTTCAGACGTTGATTTTAAGTGTCGACTAGAAATTCACATCTCAAAAACCTTCATTCCTTGTATTGCCAGATCCAAATCGGCTGCGGTGAAAACCCAGGGGAATCGGCTCCATAACCTCAAGTCCAGCGTTAACTGTTTAGACACCCCTTCTTCTCGTCGCGATCTATGAAGAGGTTATTTGTTTTGCAGTATTCTTGGGAGTATGACATTTGCGATGTACGTAGTATTCTGGAAACAATCCAATATGAATTCAAAAAGGTAGGCAACTTGTGCAAACCCTGGAGGTTGGAGCTCAACACAGAGAAATGCAGCTGGCCATGTACTGAAGACACGTGTCTTAAAATAAAACTAACACTTAATAAGAACACAGTGCCTAAACTCACATCAGCTACTGACCTAGGGGTAAATTACCTACATATTCTTAACTCCTTTGAGCATATTTCAACCATAGCACATAAAATGTGGAAATTTCTTGGCTCCGTAACTTCTTTAAAAATGAATCTAAAATCATTCTTTACCAAGAATGTGTGATATATATCCTTAAAAAGAAGGCTTAGGTGCAATCTGATTTTCTACTTCAAACTCCTCAAAAACCTTACTTATTACACACGTCATATAATCCTTACACAAGACTCATATCAATGCGACCTTCGAGACAAATTGTTTGCGGTCAAAGTTGTGAAATGCTCGGGAAAACTTCGTCCTAATCAAGTGTGCATTAATGTGGAACAGTCTTCTCTTTGAAGTATGAATGGAAGATGAAGTAAATACGTTTGTGAGACTTCTTGGTCAAGACCTCGCTTGCACTGATCTAGCAATACCGAACACATCCGAATCTCACTCAGACATCATAAACTGTTTGCATGTATAGACCGAATTAGACTCTAACTTCAGCTTGCCTTACTTTTCTACTTTGCAGCTACATTAGATACTTTTCCCTCCTTAATTTTTTTACTCGAAGTAGACAGGTAACTCACTGGAACTATCGACGCTGCTCAACTAAACTTGGCCGCCAAGGGACGCTCACTACTACCCTAAAAGGTCAAGAGAACCGCACTATCGACCGCCCACTACCAGTGGTCTTGCATCTATGGAATCTGTTACCCATCAATCGGTTAGGAAATCACAAAATAACATCAACATCAAGTTAATATGAGTTACTTCTTGTCTATTCTTTATCAGCGTTTTACTCGCCTGTACACTATGTTGACTTACTACTAGTTTTATTTCACCAAACGTTGACTTATCTATAACTCATATATTTATATACTTTCGCATCAACTTTTGTAAACAACTATCCTACATTATACACTTCTTAATGCCTATACTCTGATGGGCAATCTATACTTCATACTATAGTCAATTAAAGCACTGCATCGATAACTTACCCACAGTCCATAATTTGTAACTGCCTAATAGGCTTGTAAAATGGTACTTATAAAAATAGTGTTTTCCAGCAGGATGTGAAACACAGTATCGTGTGAGGTATAATATCTATCCAAAAATAAGCTTAAGTGAGCCCCACATCACAAAAGAAGGGAGGATGGAGTTACTGACCAGCAGGCATTGATGGTGAGGGCAATGACTTAAATCCACCCATATTTGTGGGGCAGAACATTTTGTTTGTATCAGGCTCTTCATGATAGAGAACAAGTTAATCAACCTTTAATGTTGAGGTTGTTTTCATAATCTCACCATGCAGACTCATGTTGTGCGCGATTAGCTATTCTGCGAAGACAACCTTTAACACTAGGACTGTGTGGCCCAGATCGGATAAAAAAACTGAAAAAACCCAGACAATAAAAGATATAGTTATTAGTTTTCTTAACACTTCACTCTCGATGCACTTTCCGTTCTAATAAACAGCCTTCCCTATTCCAACCTTGTTTAGCGTTCATATCCAAGTGCTTTGCTGCTCCTCTGTTTCTCTTTTTTTCAGAATCTTGCTCTGAGTGCACAGCTATAGGATTTTATAACGACTAGAACAAACTTGACGTACACGTTCTCTCAAGGTCATAGTTCACACCAAGCGATCTAAAAACCTACTTTATAACAAATATGAACTTAAAAAGTTGTATTGCATAAATACTTAGCACAACCAGAATTCTAACACAATTATGCCGAGATAGGATCTGGTGTGTAACGTGGACGCGATGCCACTTTGGAAAATATTTTAAAGACTGTACTCAGTGTAATACCAAAGCATAAACCTAATCATTAACGCTCCAAGACATCTGCACGTATGCAATGTTATTCACTTTTATGGATTATATAGCACGCAGTTGGAGCGTGAAGTTATCTATTTCAAACACACAAAGCTTTTCAACATTCAATGCATACTCTCAGTTACCATGATGTCTTCGATTGTACTTTTTAATTCTTTATAACCTGACTCATGTGAGTTTGGTTATAATCCTCAGTAGCCTTCTTTGAGACTATTGTTATAAATGGGGAAGCATGAGTTTATGAATGAATCTAACACCATAATTGTTATTTTAGTGCTTATTTCCAACATATCCTCAGTGATATTGGTACTCCATTGCATCAAGAAGTACTAGATAAGCATCAACGAATGTGCTGTATTTGGGATTTTAAACCAAGCACTCAACAAGTACAACGGCATCCTTAGTTCATTCAAACACCACATCCATTCACCATTATTTATAATACTATATATATATATATATATATATATATATATATATATATATATATATATATATATATATATATATATATATATATATGAGAGAGAGAGAGAAATAGATAAACATCATTTTCTGTGATAACGATTCGGAATATGAACCATATTAAGTACTTTCATAGTAAGATTAGTAACTCAGTATCATTAAAGCATTGGGTTCAGCGTGTAATGATACAAAGATTCACTTTATCCACACTTACCAGTAAGGTGTATCTGTAAATGTTTGGAAACACTTACTCTCTCATATGCTTGATATCACATCATCAATTACCATGATCGACTGGGCTACCTTTGAAAGATAAGGGGTTTCATTTTTTCCAATTCTAAATACTATTTAAACGACTGTTCGAGGGTGGATAAATCTCCAATGAATTCTGATATTTACTTAAAGGACATTGATATGTTGGAAATTAAAAAAAATTAGTAGTGTATAACTTCAATTTAATAAAGTTGTGTGAATCCTCATAGAACCGTATTCTTTAGATAGGATAGATTGATTTTTTTCAATAAACACCTGTATAGAGACTGGTAGCTCTAGGTTGTCAATACATACGTATACAAAGCTTTCTTAGGCTACTAAGGTCAATCGATTATTTAACCAATCATTCATCAGCATAGTACTATGACAATAGATAGTTGGTTAAGTTGTGTAAAATAAAGTCTACTTTGATTACAACAACGAATTTATATAATCCTGTTCATTTCTCAATATCATGGTTTTACAAGAAGATGAAGATTATGTGAATTTTCAGCCTGGTGGAACACATATAAAAAAAACAATCGAACCAGAATTCACAGAGGAAGACCAAAAAGAAAAGAAAAAGGGTGGAAAATGGAATACCGTGAGTTTAATGATAATAATAACAATAATAATAATATAACTAATATTTATTCATCTATAGTGATTTTTTATTAAGAAATGTATATGATTCCAATCCATATGATATGAGTTTATTTTATTGAAAGAAATAATTAAAATAATCTGAATTAATTGCTTAACTCACATAAAAACGTGAGCAAACCACTTTATTAAATTATAATAAAATTTCTATTAAATATTTCACTATACTTAAATTAATAATTTTTGGTAAATTGTTATAATCTACTAAAAACTTTTAGAATTCCACTATGAAGTGATGAAACAAAAATGAGATTTCATAAAAATTAGATTATGGCTAACAATGAAGTACTTGATATAAATTTCCTTCGACTTGGGACCTGTCAGCTGAATGTAATCGCACCTATATACTGATATTCACATTGAAACCTGAAGTCATTAGCTATCTCTCTCCAAACATTATTTCGTTATTGTTTGAGCTACTGACTTCAAATACAAACCCTTATAAACAAAGAATTTTTTATTTTAAAACTGATTACTCTTGATGTATCATGAACAAAATACACATATTTCACTACTAATTTTTATTTTATTTCTAAGATTACAGGTCAAACATCGTGTTTAGACACCTTTGACCTACAAAGTTTCACAAATCAGATATTTTGAAAGTAAACAAACTACGTATTCTGAAATTGATGTGGCATTTTTAGTTTCATACTCTAAGAAACAAGTAGAATCATTAAACTTTAAATTTGATTAAAACTAAAACATTTTTGAGAAATGGATATGATCAAAAATTGGTTACTGTATAGTAAATAAGTCTATCTCTGATTTGTAAAATTGATTAGCCAAAGGACTTTACCTTTATCAGCGAATTAAGTAATAGGACATAATGATGGATGGTGGCTAGCAGTGAAATATAGGTCACGCGTTTTGTCCCATTTGGGACTCGTGAGCTGGAAGTACCGCCATCCGGAAGTTGATGTTCACTCCAGGACTCGAACACCAGTACCGTTCGCTTCAAATGTCATCGCGTTATCCATTTATCTGCTGAGTCCTGATTGCCACTAGTCTGTGCAATGAATCTAAAGCATAATGATGCTCCATATATGAAGTTAATTACTAGAAAGAGATTAGTACAAAATGATGAAATCTAACTATTCACTTCCCAATGATCTGACGAAATGCTATATATTTGCAAAATCACGAAAGCTCATAGTGTCTTAGAAATTCGAAGTCACAAGTGTAGAAACGATTATTCAAAGAAACTTCGATCTGGAACTAATACTGACGCAATATAACAACTAATCTATTCTTTCTCAGGGTTATTGATCCCTAACATACTTGAAAGACCATGCTTTATACTGCATCATCGAAAATTTGTGCTTAAATGTAACGGAAAGCTGAGTTTTATAGAGATTATAAAACATATATATATATATACCATGAATAAATAATTTTAATCGTGATTTAAATAAGTGAATCAGATTAACTTTCCGTTCACTTTTCATTGAACAGGTTCGTAAACTTGTGACCAGTGCAAGTCAACATATTAATAGTTCACAAATGTTGAGTATATTTCGCTTTAAATGGAATTAAAATCATTACTGTCGTTTTGTTTACTCTAAGGGTTATCCAGCATTTTCTCTATATTAGCTCAACGTCATAAAAATGTTATTACAGCTGGTGATATACTACTCGTTATGCGAGCATTAGGTGATGCATTAACAGAAGCTGAACTACAAGATTTGATCTTTGAGTTAGATGTTGATCGTAAGTACTTTCCTTAAAGCTGAAAAAGCATATTACTACAAATACATACATATTATAGGAGATGGGAAATTAGATTTTTCAGAACTGTGCGCTTTTGTTGTTGAACGAATATACAAGAAGAAATTAGATCATGATTTTGAAGAATTATTTCGAATACTAGATCAAGATGGTGAGTTTCACATTGATTTATTTCAACTGTTAAATATATTTATTGAATTGATAGCATAAGTTAGTTTATTCCGACAGAAATATTCATCTCCCTCACAATTATGGTGACAAAATGTATTAAGTGACCTGAGAATTATTGTAGATATTGTAATGCAAGATGAAAAATTGAATTACACCGGACAAACTTTTGAACTTCGCAGACAATTTTCACAATGAAAGATTGCTTATAATCAAAATAAAATTAACCTACAAATAGAGCAGTAATTTTGAACATTTTTAGTTCAAAACGAATAACCGGCATGCTAATATAAAGTTGATTATATACTTGGCATTGATTCAAATCAAGGAATTCTGTAACTGGTCTCTTCTGTATTATACGTTAAGTTTGAAACTTCGGAATATCAAAAAAAAATATTTCAATGGTGTTTTCAGCCTATTAGTTAATGAGTGACTATTTAACAGGGTAGATTCTGTCAGGATAGATAAAAAAGTTATTCATTCCTAACATTTTCCTGTAAATAATTTTATTCCGATTGGCTGAATCATTCTCTTATTTAGTCAGATAACTGTTTTTCTAATATTATTGATCGGATTGTGGATTCGCACATGTATGAAGTGTGTAAACTAAACGAAATGATAGACTGCATATTATATTCAACCGTTTTGCATTTCCATCAATTACCTTTATCAGTCAAAAAGTCTAATATCAAATAAATGTGGGTCTTTCACACAATGTATTCTTAATTATTCAGTAGGTCGAGTTTAACTGAGAACCACATTATTATATCAGTAACATCCGTTCTCATACTGAAATAAAAATATTCATCCGCCTTTTAACAGAACATGATATTTTTTTAAGTGATCATTATTTCTTTCAGCTTCTGATGTAGTTTCAAATTAAAGTTGTTAAAAACAGTTAGTTCGTTTGATGAATTTAGATAATATAATGAGAAGACGAGCCTTATCAGAAATATTTGGTATCCTAGTGCAATACATTTCGAATAAACTGATGACGCATTTATTTGGTTTCAAAAAGGGATAATAATAGTATGAGTCATTTCACTTTGATTAATAAACCGATGTTACCTGAGTAGTGTAAGTACAAATTGCTTTCAGACACAGAGAGAAGTAAGCTTTCGTGTATCTAAGACTTCAATATGCTTAAGTATTCTCCATAGACAACTACAAAGGTTGAGTTAAGATCAGTCTCATGGCTTTTTCAACTATGTTTGTCATCAGCTCGCATAGGGTCATTTTGATTAATTTGACTTTGGGGCCATTTTTGTACATGTTTAGCCACTCTAACTTGCAAATCACGATTACTCCTCCTTCTAAATCTGTTTTCACACACAAATGTAAGTTATTAAACATAGTGGCATGTGACTCAATCTCTTACATGATGTTTTTCTTGTGGTAAAATGCATGGACAGTTTTTCAGTATTTATGACTCTGACTGTATAGTATGTTATACTGTGAGTCGATCTAAGCCTACGTTTCTACATAAGTTATTGAATTCAACTCTGACTGATAGAGTGATGTAGATAGATTTTTCATACGGCAGAGTAATAGTAGATATCAACTCAATGGTTCTTCCATCAATTTATGACTTTTAGTGTATATTTACTCTCCATCAGTCTTTCGTTTAGCAGCTTCACGTCGTCTTTAATAGTAACAACTGTACAGATACGGTTAATCCTATTGAGTAGGCACTTAATCAAACCTTTGTACTGAACTAGATAGTAGCTATGATAGCTAAGATACTGACCAGTCCATGCTGGATTTTTATAGATATATCTTAATCTAATCATCTTTTCAACAAATCAGTGCATATGAGAAGTGGAGCTGGTTGTTTGAAATAAATGAAAAGCGGTTGACAGTGAAATCCATGACTCATATTTCGTCCTATTTGTACAGTAAATATATCAACAACGTGATAATCCAAACCATTACAAATTAAAATCAAAATTCATATCCGTTGTGAAAGTCTATCTGGACTCAGTAGCTAAATGGGTAATGTGTTGGCATTTGGGTGGAAGGTATGGTGTCCGAGTTCCTGAGTGAACATCATCTCTGTGATGCAGATTCATCCAGCTGACGAGTCCCGAATAGAACGAGATACTCTTCTTAGATTCCATTGTTAACCGCTTCCTATATAAACATGTATCATATTGGCAATATCGAGATATTCCTCACAGGATTTACATAATCCCTACAAAAACTGATCCAATCTCAGTCAATTTATCAACAACAGGATAATCTAAACCATCACAAATTAAATTAATTCTGATTGTTCTTTTCTTCTCTAAATGAAAGGCTAATATTGATTTCGAAGTGTTAAGTTTATTATAATGCATAATGTGTATCTACAGTTTTGTTTCATACATATTGTACATACCACTTATAAAGCTGATTATTTTCAATGAATTTTGTTAGATTTTCGACTCAAGACATAAACAGGTCGGGTAGTAAAAGTTCAAAAAGGACTAACTATTACAACACCATCAATCAGTCAAAAGTATTTGCTCTGAAATATAAACTGGACTTCTTCAGTGCATAATAATAAATCTCTAAGATTTGTTGAATAAATAGATAATACAAAATTAGTTAAAAACATTTAGTCACATAGGATAACACAAGTCTTTCACAGGTTTATTTGGAATACAAAGAATTCATATTAAAGAAAAAACACAACTTATTTTACTACAACAATTACTAGATTGACATACAAGAAAACAGTCCTGTTTTATTCAATATTTATACGGGTGAACATACGAACATAAGATAAATATTTTGTTTATCACATGATTCATGTTATCTATAAAAAAAATCTATGAAATGATAGTTTGCCAAAATGTAGTGTATATTGAAAAAGGTAAAGCGTTTAAAGAAAATCTATTATAAGGCAATTAGCAATATCAAGTTCTAATCTAATACCAAGTGAATTCAAATTCACCCCATTGCACAAGCAAGTGGCTATCAGGACTCAGTAGCTGAGTGGATAACGCAATGGCATTTGGAGTGAATGGTACTGGGTTCGAGTCCCTTGGTGAAAATCAACTCTGGGGTGCAGGTACATCCAGTTGACGAGTCTCAAATAGGACGAAATGCGCGTTCTGGATTCCACTGCTAGCCATTATCCATCTTTGCCTAGTTAGGAAAAAGAATATAAATCGCAGCTTTATTCATTCACAATCAACCAATTCAAAGATAACAGTCATTTGAGTTGATAGAATTTCTTCCCAAATTAATATCAAATCATCTTTTTGTACTTCATATTAGGAGATTATCAACTCTTAAGAAATGCTTATCAAAAATTAATAGATCCCCTCTACACTATTCCAATGTACGGAACAATTTGTATAATATGTAATGTTTTCGTAGGACTAAAATTATTCGCCATATTATAAGTTTGCAGTATAGTTCTATCACATCGGCTGTTCTAAATTCTTCCAGATGAACAATTCCCTTGTCAAGATTTCACAATCATTTTAAGCAACTGATTTTCAACGATAACTACTAAAGTCTTTAATTTCTCTCAAAGAAAAATTGCTAAGGTGGATGTCATGACAACCCTGAGTGGTATAATTGTTATGATTAATTCTTCTACTCTCCACTTGGAAGACTTAATTATTTAACAGCTGACTACGTTTCTCATCTAGTTTATTGATTAGTTGATGTTAACATTAATGTTACGGATAAAGATCACTAACCAATCATAAGGAAGGTCATAAGCACAAGGACATGTAACTTAAAAATATTAATGACTCATTAATAGCAAAGGCACATATGACAGTGGATTTGTGTGGATTGGAAACCATGCGAATTAGTAAGTACTCTAATACTCTAAAAATGAGAACCCAGACATCAAATACATAATATGTTTGGTTTTGTACAATGTAACGTCAACTAAAGCAGTCGTCTTCATCTATACACATGCATCACCTCTTGGATGATTAAATACATATGAGTATGGGTTTCTATGATTCAGATTATAAGAACTTGGTTTTCAGTAGTTTTGAAATTCATTGATAGCCACCACTTACTGTGACAGATCTAGTCTGCTGATCGATCTGATAACAGGTCATTTGCCGAAATATATGGAGGATGCCAACGCAAACAATAAATTATCAGACATAACTAACAGCTTCTCTTTATAGGTTCAAAAGATTTCTTAATAAGTTTTATTCAAATCAATGAATGTGACTAAACAGAACATACAATAATCTATCCAGAATACCACGAATTTTCAGAAACCTTTCGATAAATTTATTGATGTGTATCGCTTAACCGTTATTAGCGTATCAATGAAATAAAATGGATTTGTATAAGTTGTATGATACTCTTCTTCCTAATTATTACTTCAGATATTTATATTAAGTCTGCTAAAATATTTAATCGAAACGCGTACTTTCCAATTGTTTTACTTTGACGACTGTATTGATAAATCTGTTTGACGATATAAGATTCTCTAGAGCTTTATCGATATTGAATGTGTTTTAATCAAAATTGACTGTAGAAATTCACTCTATAGATTGTAGTTGTTTGTAATTTACCAGTTCGATGCTCATTCTCCGATGTTTTTGTTTGCACTCAGTTTTGAAACTTGTACTCAGATTAAAAACCTAAATAATAATTCACGAGTAAAGTGAATCAAGTTAGGGCCCTATTATTTGGATGACCAATAATCATCAGTCAGATGTTTATTTCCCAGAAGTCAATTTGTCCAAAAATGGATACAAATCTAAGTGACTGATAAGCCCAAAATAAGCGAAGTTTTACTTCTAGAATCCACATTGAAAAAATTGCATTATTATTCAAAACGTTCCCACTGAAACTCCGTACGAAACTGTAAACAATAGCAGTGGATGTACACTCAGAGAAAGTGAGTAAAGGTATCTGATCATGCTTTCAGATATTTCAAGAAATCGCCTCAATTTCATTTGTGAAGAGCCTCGCTTATTTTTTTCTTGTAAAGGGATAAATGATGTTTAGAAACAATTATGTAAATAGATCATGTTCGATTCACCATTGTTTGAACATTTGTCCATGTTCCAAACAAATACACGAATAATTTATCTTGATTTCATAGAAAACATTTACATCTACTCTGAAAAAGTACTAAATCATGTTAATTATTAAGTAGTTAATTATGACTTATTGGCAAGCGAATACATTTTATATGCAATGGTTTCAAAGTATTGAGATGGTGGTTAAGGTTTGTAGCTCAAGTAGATGGGTTTGTTGGAGGTTCGCTCTATGAGCTATATGGTTTTGTAATGAAAGTTTCACTATTCTCTTGAACACCATTGGCACAAACTTCAGATAAATATGAGGTATATTTAAGTGACGAGAACTACCATGAATTATGAATATTAATGATATAATTTACACAGAACTATTAATATATTACTTCAGTCATTGTCTTAGTAAAATCAGACTTTCATTTGAGTTTCAAAATTAACAGAAAATAGTATGAAATTTGTCCATTGCTGATAAACAACTCAATATATTTCTTTACCAGAGTTTATAACTTGATAGTTTGTTAACTAGGCGTACTTACAAAACCAAAACACAGTAATTATCTCTTCTTATTATAAGATAAAACTGGTATATACATATTACCTACAATAGTAATATATCTGAGATCGAAGAGCTGATAGTATAGCAACCTGTCATTTGAAAACCTTATATAAATAACGGCCGAACAGTTTTACGTTGGTTTAAATACGAATAATCTACTTTGATTACTGAGAGTTTGAATACAACAACAGCATCTGGACCAGTATTCACTTCATCCTAAATTAAAATTGTCTAACACTTATGATACTGTCACCGTACATTTTATCGCAATAACTATGTTGATAGTTCAAAACCAGACACAATATATGCATTAATTCAACTTTAGTTCTCACCCCTACAACAGTAATTTTCGAATCAACGCTACTGTGAACAGTCTAAGTAGAAAATATTTGTAATCGATTAACTTAATATAAAACCAACCTTCTAAATATTGGACATTTCACTATGTTAGCTTAGAATAACATTTTAATCATCGGTATAAAAGTAGAACGTAACCAATTATGTTACATCTTAAAGGTGATCAATCATATGATCTCTTTTACAATAACAAGATCGATGTTATGATCAAAAAATGTATTGGAGAATATTGTGTTTTAATGCGAATTAAAGCAAAATATTTTGTAAATTTTAATTGATTTATACGGTTATTATTTTATTACTTAGAATGAATGCATGAACCTCATATCATGGTAGGTAACAATAGATTTCACGGCAAGAGTTTAACTTGTGACTTGTTTAACAAATAAGTATACCATTTAATGAAAATCAAACTTCTCACTGACATGAGGAGTAATAAACGTCAATTACACAAGTGAAAAACGATGTACTTGAAACAGTTTTCCTTACGTTGGTACACAAATACAACACAGTGAACAGATGATTACCGACCATTAGATAATGGACGGTAGCATTTCTAGGCCTTACATAATGGGATTACATCAAATATTTGTGTAGAACCTTTCCGTCGTTTATTAATGTGTACTATCTATAATATTGAATAATTGTTTCTTCTTTATTTTAGGTGATGGAACACTGTCAAAAGATGATTTACGCAATATTTTACGCTATTTTGAACTGGACTTCAGCGATGAAATAATTGATGATATTGTTAAAGAAATTACTGGGTCTGAAAATAACCTTATTACCTATTCAGGTAATGAAAAGACTCATTAATTTGACAGTGTTTGAAAATAGTTTGTACTGAAAATAATATTGAAAAGTCTTTGTCATTTACTGCATCTCAGTTGCATGTACCTCTGGTATCTCACAATTGAGAAATTCAAAATTAGGGTACACAGGCATGCAATATGTGCAGAAATAATTGATCTGAAGATAGAACTAATTACAGAACGGTAACAACTACTTTAAAGTTAAGAGTTACTGAATATCTGTTTTGTCCAATCCAGTAGTGTAGCCATCTACTCAATGTACGGGCGCAATCAAGTTTCTTTATGGCGATGACGTCACTTAACTGTTGAGTCAAAATCTACTTACTTTATTTATCAATTCTACAGTGAAACGCAGTCATCCGCTTATGATGCTGACTTACATGGTCTCAAAACTGTATACTTCTGTGTGAATTCGAAACATCAAATAAAAAAAGCTGGTTATTCACCAGATGTTGTCCTATGGTGATAAACATCTTCAAAGTAATGTATCTGTGTCATGCAATCTGAATCTATTGATTTTAATTGTCGATAGACCAAGATTATATGAATATTGAATTAAAATATAATTAATGTGTGTGTAGTACTTTCTTGTAGTTATTCAAGTAAAAAACTTTTAATAAAGTTTATTCTTATATATAAATATTTTTGAATTCGTAACTAATTTCACAAATTTCATCTCTTTTATAGATTTGTCTAAGTTTATCATAGATTCAGACAAAGAGTTTACTATTACTGAAATCTTGAACAATCCTTTATAATATATGAAGAGATAATTAAACTCCAACTTCGTCAAGAATTCTTATTTATTTGACTTGATAGATCGTACTCAAATAATTCCTTCAATAAATGATGAATTGTGTTGGATTTTTATTTCTTACAGAATCTTGTTTCCTAGTTTTGGTAACAAGTAAATTGATTTAAATGTTTTTCTCACTAATAATGTTTGTTTTAAAAAGATAAAACTAACATAAATGATGTGTTGTTTATATAGTAGATATATGTCAGTGGTCTCATGTAAAAAAACATTAAAAAAACTAGTGACATTAGATACGATGAATTTGATTAACACTGGATGACATTTTGGTTTATTCTAGAAATAAACACTATATTTAAATACATGTTTAGGTAGCAAATAATTTCTCCAGTAAACACTTTTTTGCATGCATTTTTGTCAAATTTTCCATGTGACAGTAATAACTTAAACAAATTATGGTCTGTTAGAATGAAAGGTCGAAGTGATAAACAAACACCATAGCTACATTGCTGCCACTCATTAAAGTAGGTGGAGCGAGGTAAGGACCTAGTACCTAATAATTGAAAGACAAATGTTTCGAGCCGTACGATGTGGCAACAGCTAACGAAACATAGAGTGGGTGCATAATCTCATTGTCTGACTACATTGTGATCAGACGAGACTGAAGCTAAGGGCATAAGTGTATCCTAGTTGACTTCGAGTGTATTCAATCGACTTAACAATAGAATATTGAATGTTAAATAAGAGAGTAGTTTTGGATACATATATTCCAGACATCTATTAACGAAGACAGACAATGAGGAATACGGAAAGGCGATGGTGAACAGACCTACTCATCAAGAAACCGTTCAATATTTATTGCCACCTCTGAATTAACTACTTTTATGAATCCGGTGTTCATCTTGTTGTGTTAATAAGGTATGGCAACTTGGACCGATGCATATGTGTGCCTGGTCCTACGTTGTAGCTGACTGACTGACTGACAATATTTATAAGCACTATATATATTATAGACACATAAGACTACCATACATATATGCTCGAGAAGACACATAAATGATAGAATGACTAGAAAGATCAGAATAATTCATCTGTTTAAAAGTTAAGATAAACGGTTTAGGTACATAATAAAATAAAAGCTGCTACATGTATATAACTAGCTTTCATCATGGGTTGAAATTAGCTAGGGAAATATAAAAAATAAGGAGAAACAGAATATCTGTCCTATTCTAGTCTGAAACTCAAGTTCACAACCTCAAATGTGATCAAACTTCCAGGTTCAAAATTGAGCATGGTATCTTTAAATTGCTAACCCGATACCAAATTCTTCACGTTTAAATGTCGAGTCACTTTGAGATACAGTAATTCACTAATTAATTTCCTACTCATTGGTATATTACAAACATATTATTTTTAAAACAATTAGTCCCTTTGATAAATTTCAATAATGCAATGAGAAGACGAAGATTATCAGAACTGTGATATATTAGCGCAATACATTTCGAACAATCTGGTCACACATATACTTGTTAAGAGCATTTATATATATAAATAAAAGGTCAACTAGACAGGAAGTGGGGTAAGAGGAGATAAGGATAATGATAAGAGTAATAATAATAATAATGTGAACATAATTCGTAACCTAATCACTCTGGATAATAAGTCAATACTACCAGGGTAGGTTTAAGGTAAGAACGAACTGTTTTTGAACACATAAAGGGGGTTTGAATTTTCGTATGGCTAAGGCTTCAATGAACCTTAGTATACGCCCTTTTACACTTTTATACAGCACTACAATAGCCTTTTACTGAAACAACGACTTAAATCAGTCATCAATAAAACCTATTGCGCAGCAAAGGTCATCATCAAAGAAAGAACAAGGTGCATGCTTCATTCAAAACCTAAAGTACATGGAAACGATTACGTCACATCCCACTGTGTTTACCAATTTAAATGTGTGTGTGGTCACACATACATAGGGAGGAGTAATCGTGATCTCAACATTAGGGTGAGTGAACATGTACCCAAATGGCTTCAGAAACAAATACAATCAAGTGACCCAATAAGAGCAGAGGATAAACATCCATCATCCTCTATTGCTAAACATATAATTGAAACAGGCCACAAGATTGATCTAAATTCAGCTTTTGTAGTGCTGTATAAAAGTGTAAAAGGGCGTATACTAAGGTTCATTGAAGCCTTAGCCATACGAAAATTCAAACCCCCTTTATGTGTTCAAAAACAGTTTGTTCTTACCTTAAACCTACCCTGGTAATATTGACTTATTATCCAGAGTGATTAGGTTACGAATTATGTTCACATTATTATTATTATTACTCTTATCATTATCCTTATCTCCTCTTACCCCATTTCCTGTCTAGTTGACCTTTTATTTATATATATAAATGCTCTTAACAAGTATATGTGTGACCAGATTGTTCGAAATGTATTGCGCTAATATATCACAGTTCTGATAATCTTCGTCTTCTCATTGCATTATCGATATTATTTTTATTTATAGCATTCTATCCAATGCTCAATTTATTTGAAGTGATCAAGTCAATAATAACTATATATATACAAGAACAGGTCAGAGGTTATTTGGTGTTAGAATCAAGAAAAAATTAAGGATTGGTGTTTCTTTGATTCTAACACCAAATAACCTCTGACCTGTTCTTGCATATATATATATATGCACAGAGAGAGAGAGAGAATTATTATTGATAACCTTTGTTATTACAATTCTTTACATTTACTTATGTTCCATACTATTTCTTATTTCAATGTAAAATTCAAATACCTATTTGGTTGTAAGAGGCTGATGAGAAACCACGAAATAAGATGAATTCATAATATTCTGTATCTGTATTTGTTCTGGCTTTATTTAAACTCATAGAGAAAATTAATTACATGGAATATTTTTGTGACTAATTTACTCATTATAAGTTTATGTACTTAGGATTACAATGCTTTTATAAAAACCAAATGGTTCCATCTAGGTTTTTTTTGGAAGTGTAGAATATTCACGTGAAACATAATAGTTAAGAGTTAAATGATTTAACCGATAAGCCATTGTTAATTAACTCAAGTCTATTGTAAACATTTAGTTTTTTTTCTTTGATTAATATTATTACTTTGATAGTATTGTCTAGATAGTTTTGTTTACTTTTATAAATTAACCTAAAATATGTGAATATTGAAAATAAAGAATATCGGAATTTCATTATTCTTGAAAAAGCTTAGATTAGATTGTCAGGCGAAACGTTGGATTTATTTCAAATTCTTTCGACGAAATTTTACAAACACATTTTTTTTCTCTTTAAGTTCATTATACTTTTTAGATTTTTAATGTTAAGTTAGAAATAAAGATTCATTTGATCAAAAAAAAATTAAGTCCAAATGATATTTGTACTTGACGTAGAAGATAATTTAAGTATTTACTAATTAGTGTACATTCATTTGTGAACATAATTAAATCTTACAAAGTATTCACATCCTAAAGTTGAATAAAATCTTTTTAAAACAAATTATATTGCATAAGCACAGATGGATAGTGGCTAGTAGTGGAATCCAGGATGCGCGTTTCGTCCTATTTGGGACTCGTCAGCTGGATGTACCTGCATCTCAGAGTTGATGTTCACTCTGGGACTCGAACTCAGTACCATTCGCTCCAAACGCCATTGTGTTATCCACTCAGCTACGAATGGTACTGGGTTCGAGTCCCAGAGTGAACATCAACTCTGAGATGCAGGTACATCCAGATGACGAGTCGCAAATAGGACGAAACGTGCATCCTGAATTCCACTGCTAGCCATTATCCATCTTTGCTTATAAAACTTTGTGAATTAAGGCAATATCGAGGCATACGCACAGTATGCACATATGCCAATAACAGACTGATCAATTGCAGTCTTAAGCCTTATAGGGAAGATACAAGCCAAACAATACCAAGTGAAATCACATTGCAGTTTTACGTATCAGAATTTTTTTCAAAATAATTTTCTTTTGTTTTGAAAAGATACTTAAGCAATTACAAATATTTATACGAATATTCGTCAAGATTAGAACGAATAGTTTGACAGAAATTGGGCGCTGAATATAGAGAAGTCATTATATGTTAAAATTATATTTGAAATAATCTCAGCGGTTGACATTTAAATAATTCCAACGTTTCGTCCAGCTAACTTGTCTGGACTTCTTCAGTGTAATAATCAAAATCATCAAAGAAATACATAGTTTTTTAACAATAATAACTATACTGTGTTACACGAATTAAATTTTGATGTTGATTTTTGTAAAATAGGATGAAATGAGTCAGTTGACTACAATTCATTTGAAAAATTCAACTATATGTAAATAATTAACTGAATAACAAATTGTTTGTGTGTGAGTGTGTAGATATGTTGTATGCGTGAGATTAATTATTGATGTTCTGTGTTGATATGTTATATATGAAGGAATAAATAATGAATCATCGATGTACGTCTCAAACAAATACCTAAATTGTATTGCTAAAAACTCTTTGAAATCAGTCAAAAATAACGATACATGTGAAATAGACAGGTTGAACAAAGATAGGGTTCAAATTACTTGTCATAACGAAAATTGCCAGGTAGTCGCTAGTTGAATACTATCGTTTCGGTTCAGGCTGTTCTTGTTCGTCCATATATACAGCACTTCTGCTGTCAATCTTTCTTCCTGGGTGTTCAAACCTTTCTGAAGTATTTTGGTCACTTCAAAATTAATCTTGTGTCCTGTTTCTAATGCATGTAACGCTATCGCAGACTTATTCTCAAGTTTCTTCAAATCAACCGAGGTGTTTGTTCATAACTTGTGTTATTGTTATGTCCCGATATGAATGATGAATGGTAACTTTTGGGATCCATTTATGGACCAATACTATACGTTTATTTTTATCGTATAATTCTTAAGTAACTGAACTGTTCATATTCATGCCCATCTTATCATAAGCTTTATTTTGACCTATGAAGTATTATTATACGATTTACCATTCTTGAGTTATGGCCTGTCTATTAATTACTACCTCCCTCATTCACAGCCACATTTGGCTAATTCTTGTACAAATGTTGTTTCATATTTTATGGTACGTTGTGGTCTGTTTGATTGGTATATAAACCAAGTATGCTTGAAATAAATTATTCATATCGCAGAGGCTGA